ACTCCACCCTTATGCTGCACCAAAACCCAAAACCCTAATGAAGCCCCTTTTGGATGGCCTATTTGTGATTTCTATCTTGCATGGGCTGAGCTGATACATTAAGAACTGGGAACACTACAGGCTGCTGGCACTTAGAGCAGCCCAGAGCCAGAGCTGGTAATGCTGAGGGTGGAAAGCAACAGGAATTCTCTGAGAGCTTCCACCTCTGGCTGCAGTGGGTACTGGCTCTAGCTGCCCAGGGAGTGGCAGAGGACTGCTAGCACTAACAGCTGGGACCTGCTAGCACCCAAAGCTCAGGGTCATTATAACTAAATGAGCTACAGTTATCCTATTTGTGATTTCTATATGAATTAAACAAAAGAACCCTAGCCAGCTGATGACAAGGAGGTAGATGGTGTCTTCTCATTACCAAATATAAACAACACAGACCAAAGAGAATGGCCAAGTAGGGATTCAGAATAGGGCTAGGCCCCAGAAGACCATGCATCTGCCACTAATCTAGGCTGTTAGAAAGTATGGGATAAAAAGGGAAAAGGTGATAATAATACACAGAATAAAATGCAAAAAGACTCTGGTAAGGAATGTTTATGATGTAGTTAATTACAAAACATTAACAGAGGATACTAAAAAGGTATATGTATATACATGCACTTACACACACACACACACACACACGCACACACACACACCCCTATATACATACTTATATATACCTATACTTTGGAAATTAGAGCTTGACTATGTTTGGATTCCTCATACTTGCAGAAATTAAAATAGAATTCTCTGTTGCTACCCAGCATGACAGCACCCATCTGCAAGGTTAAGTAGGAATAGTTCCAATAAAGGGATTTTTATTTGCTATACGATAGGAAGATAGGCAAGTCAATATAAGTATGCCCAGAATATAAAGATGTGACCAAAATTTGATCTTTTCAAACACTGTACCTTGTGTATCTGATTTTTCTACTAGAAGCAGGAAGATTGAGGAAATTCCCACGGGCCTGTGCAAATGTCGTTTTCCTGTGAATGTTAAGAATCGCAGACTCACCCTTGCTGCTACCCAGGGAGCCGGGGTGAACATTAAAAGCCACACGCACAACCTACACATAAATCAGCTGCCTGAACCACAATAAAATAGATTGCAGGCAAGTGCTACAGTTTACAGTCAGTGTGGGGGACACTAAAGCCCAGAAACAGTAATAGGAATCTACGCCACCACAAAGCAAAGATATTTCTTAATCCTTTATATCCCAGTATATCTGGTATTTAGCAGAGAGCTCATCAAAGAGCCTAAGTGTCAAACAAAGAATGGGGGCCCAACCCCCAGTTTCTATAAAGAATTTTCATTTCAAATCTTAAATCTTCATTTTCACACAATTTAGTTTTTCATTTATAAATAAATTTTAAGTACCATCTCATCCCAGAAAGAATGGTTATCATAAAGAAATCAATCAACAACAAATGTTGGAGAGGCTGTGGGGAAAAGGGAACCCTTCTCCACTGCTGATGGGAATGTAGACTGGTGCAATCATTATGGAAATCAGTGTGGAGACTCCTTTAAAAAACTAAGACTGGAAATCCCATTCAAACCAGCTATCCCCCTACTGGGAATTTTCCCAGAGGAACTGAAAATGTCATATCATAGTGATATATGTGTACCTATATTTCTAGCAGCACAATTTGTGATAACCAAATCTAGGAAACAACCAAGATGCCCATCACCTGAGGAATGGATGAAAAAGATGTAGTATTTTTATAAAATGGAGTATTACTCAGTTATAAAGAATGATAAACTCAAAGCCTTCATATTTAAGTGGATGCCACTTACACATGCCACATACTCATAAGTGAAATTACTCATAAGTGAATTTCACTCATAAGTGAAATTAATCATAAGTGAAATAAACCAGACCCACATGTGTCAATATCATATAGTGTCCTAGTGTAAAAACGCAAAAGAAGAAATACAAATAGAAAGGTATAACACAATTAAAAGAAAAGCGAAAACTTGAGGATTAGACAATGAAGAGAGGGCAAGGAGAAAAGTTAGGAAACATGACAGGGGCAAAGTCATACATTTATATGCACAAGATGGTTAAGGTAATGATCCTGAGAATCTTCAGCAGGTTTTGAAATTACCAGTTGATTGATAGGATTCTCACCCTGACTAAATATATATGCTGATATCTGTGAACTAAGCAACTACACTGAAGATAGCAATGTGTAATGATAGAGTCAGGCTTGAAATGCCTGTCATTCTGATCTTCTAAATATGTACTCCTTGTCATGTCATATCAATTACTGCCATACTGTCTCTCAAGTAAATGTTTGTTTAAAAAACAAAAAGGTAATAAATGAAAACAAGAGACAAGAAAAAAAAGTCACATAGGACTGTCCAGCTACAACACTGTATATGGTTAGATTTCTAAATTTCTGTGTAAAAATATGTAGTTGTTTAGTCTTATTTCTTTAATTTTTTAATCTTTTTCTTCATATTATATACAGACTTAGAGTTTCACACATCAATACTTGATGGAAAATACCTGTTTCATGTTATGTCTAAGATGCTTGATATTCAGACAGATAGTGAGGCTAAGTTCAACAACCTATGTTGTAGGGTAACAACAATAAGCTTCTCTTTCTTTCTTTCTTTCTTTCTTTTTTTTATTTTAACATTTATTGTATGTGTGTGCGTGCGTGTGTGTGTGTGTGTGTGTGTGTGTGTGTGTGTATGTGTGTGGCCAGCTCAGCCCACCAGGGGGCAGGGCTGGCTGGCATGTGGTGCTGGAGGATTGAACCGCAGTCCCTGTGCTTTGCCAAGTTTGTCCCAAGTAGGTGCTTTAGACCACTGAGCCATCTCTCCAGCCCCAACAATAAGCTTCTCTTCTGGAGAATTAACAACTTAATTTTGCAGACCAAAAATTAAAGAAAAAGAAGGGCTGCAATGACAGCCAACATTTTGGCCTTTGTCTTTCAAGGTCAGTGAAGACTCAGGACATAGGAGAACCTGTACTGTAATGTCATATAACTCAGTTGTGTCTCAAATTTTCTGATCAAGGAGATTACGGAGCCACAGAGAAAAGTGATCGATGATGTAGAGTGTGCCTAAGGAGAGTCACATGGAGAGAAAACATTCTTTCAGGCTTTCACAAAGAGCAAATTGGTTAAGCAATGGCCGTGACTCATCCACATGGCTAACACTGACAAAGGATGTACAAACTGTGGTACAGGGTTTTAGGATAAATCCTGAGCGGAGTTGATGACTTTTCAGATAAAAAAGTTACATTTCTTGTTATATAGGTCTTGTTTTATCTTGGTCTTAACCATCCAGTCAAAAAGTATAAAAATGAAGTATGAAAAGTAAGGCCATATTTATATGCTGAGCTATAAAAGGCTCAAGTCAACAACTTCTGACATTACCAGTCCTATGGATAACTCATTACTATTATGGACTACTGAACTATATTGGAATATTTTTCTTAATTTACATACCTACAATATTTAAATGACAATGGAATATCCATATCTGACAAAACTAAACAGAAAAGGGGAATGAAATGAAGGACCATTTTGTATCTGTATATTCAAAATAATTAGGATACATATACAGCTACTTTCTCTTAATTCAATGAATGGAAAGATTTATACTAATAGTGTTTATGGACAGGATATCATGTCTGCACCTTGTACTATGAATAACCACTAATAAGACAACAATATGCAATGTATTAATTATTGAAACTGTCCTAATCAGTTTTGAAACTGTGTCATTGATATTTGTTTCTCAATAAAATTATTAGAAAAAAGAAATTTTAAGCTTGAAAGAAATTAAAAACAGTATCTGAAAAATTAAGAAACTTACAATATTCACTTATAGTTCTACCAACCCTCTCTAAAGAATAAAATTACATTGTTCATTTTCATTTTGGATTTAGTCATAACACTTCTGTCTCCTCATCTGTAAATTTTTTTTTTCTCATCTGTGAAATTTGGGTCAGTAGGTATTTAAGTTTTACTTCAAGGTTATTCCAGTATTATCCAGTAAATGACACCCTTACAAGGATAATTTGTGCTACATAACTGAACATTGAATGACACAAAGTTGGGCTCTATTAAGTTCTGCAAAATGGGATCCAGATAATGAAATCATACATCAGATTGTATTTCCCACCTGAATACTGAGTAGCTTTTCTAGCAGGTACAAGGCCAAAAAGGAGCAGCAAGGAAAGTCCAGTCTGCCTGGCTTCACAGTACATGTATGCCTTGATAGGACACAAAGGTCATGCTATGTATCCCCAGGGAGATAATCAATCAGGAGCCAGACATGGGCGATAGGACCCAAGGTTGCTGGGGACTGTGGCATCCGGCTTTCCTGTGGATGTTCTCGTTTAACTGTCCACAGAACCAGAAGTCCTGCTCCCTGTCCTATTCCTTCTGGCTCCTCTAGTGCTTAAGTGACTTAGAGGTCACTTTTCTCACCCTGGGAGGGGGCACCTGCCTACCTAACCACTATGATGTCCACACCGGCTCCTGGCTGTGCACATCACCCATGTACACACCAACATGAATCCTGGTGGCCAGCTGGCTCTGCACAGTTCCTGGGCAAGACGCAGGTACAGGCATTGAGCCTATCTCCCACTTTCTAGGGAAGACATCTCACGAAGAGCGTCGTCAGCCAGGGTGATTCCTGGCATCTCCATTTGTAAGACTCATCTCTCACCTTAGCCATTTCACTTTTGCTCATTTATTTCACATTAACCTGTGACCCCTTCACACCTTGGTTATGCAGATCCTTGGGCCAAAGGAGCATTTTTGGGGGGGATGTGGGGAGTGTCAGGATGTAATCCCATTATCCTTTCTGTACTTTTCAAAATAATAACTATAAAACATAAAGAAAAGGTATGGTTTTCGGTTACTAGGTGATCCTGCTGGGCTGCCTGCCTAGCGCATCTCTGAGTCCTCACTGTGCAGGACCCCGCCCGCCCGGGGAGTTTGCCTACCTCCCAGGCAGGTGGCCGTGCATGGGGTGAAGCCGGCATACTCCCAGGTGAAGGTCCCCACGCTGTCCTCCTGGGGGGCATGGCCGTCAGGCTCTCTGGACGCAGGGCTCCTGGGACAGGCCTGGCGCTGGCAGGGCCGCTCAGTGGGTGGCCGGGGACCCTCACACTCGTCCTCAGGGAGCTCAGCCTCTGTGCGCGAGAAGGCCAGGAGCACACGGCACCTCAGGGCACGCACCTGCACACCCGGGCCACAGCTGGAGCTGCAGGCTGACCAGGGCTCAGGAATGAACCTAGGGAGCCAGGACAGACAAAGGGTCACCCACAGTACACACGGGCAGCCAACACCAAACTACACTTGCAAGCCTTTTAAATTATCTTGAGAGGGAGTCTCACTAAGCCATTCTACTGCCCAGGCTGGGTTTGAACATGGGGTCCTCCTACCTCACCTCGGCCTCCAGAGTGGTGAGATTACAGCCTTGCACCACCATACTCAGCTTCATTTTTACATCTTATTAACAGCAGAAATTAGGGTTCTTCATTAAAGGCACACCCTACTTTTATCTCCATATAAAACTTCCAGTTTGTGCTGTGACTGGTGGCAAACTATGATGATAAAAATATTATTTTTATTTATTTATTATTTATTTATTTATTTTTTTTTTGTACCGGGGATTGAACTCAGGACCTTGTACTTGCCAGGCATACAAAAATATTTAGCAATAAAAGAAACCATCAGGTAGACATCATTTCTAATGTGATTTCTTCTCACCCATTTATTCCACATATCTTTATCGAGTTTCTCCTTCATGACTGTATGAAGGGGCACTAAGCTGCTGCAATGTTTAAGAGCCTAACTGCAGGAAACTGAAAACTCTTCACAGTGTGCAAGAAGCTTCAATACTTGTTCATATTTAATATACAAATACACTAACTTTTAAGTCTTCTTGAAAGTCCATATGCTGCCCAAACTGCCTGAAAGAAGTATTTACTTTTTAATCTGAATTACTATCTACTATCAAAGGTTATCAGTCTTGAGCCTGCAAGCCAAATCTGGCCTGTTTTCACACAACCCGACAGCAGTGTTTAAATTGGTGGAGAGGAAGGATACTATTGGGTGACGTGAAAATTACAAAAATAGTTCAGATTTTACTGTCATTATTAAAGTTCTACTGGAATACAGCCATACTCATTTATCCACTTATTGTATACGGCTGCATTTCTGCTACATGACAGAGCTGAATATTTGTGGCATAGACTGTTTAGCCTGGAAAGCATCGGATATTCACTATTTGGCCCTTTACAGAGAATGTTTCTTGCCCCTGCTATGTATCAATTCAAAACATAGATTCAACAGGGAACAATATATTTAAGATCCTCTCAGGAAACACTTTGAATCATGAAGTATTAATAATCGATAAGAGTTCAGTGATAGATACAGTTTGGAAAACTTTGTGTTCTTTAATATTTAACAGGTTTTTTATAGACATACTTTCCCAAAGACAATATCTGAATTCTTACTATGAATACTTAAGACAGGAGTATGAAACACATCATTTCATCACCTTGAGTGAAAGCAGACCCTGTTTCAGGGAATGAGAGCCTTGTCCTTTAGAATAGCTTCAGGTAATGCTGCTGGAATGTTTAAGTTGCAATTCCGAACCTTAATGTTTCAAATCTCAGCAGCATGGAGGACCAAACCTTTCCCAGATAAAAGTTCTTTACAGTTGTCCACAATAGCACATCCCATAACCACCCGCACTAGGAAACACCATAGCTGTAGATAAATTCCATAAAGAAATGTCCGTAAACACAAAGCACTTTGTTATCTGTGGAAAACTGTTACTGAAGTACCCTTGTCTCTAATCCAAACAATAGCCTATTCTCTAATTCTATGAGAGGACTTGCTCAACTCCCCAGGATGGAGGAGTCTTAGAGTGAAACTGGCATATTTACTCTTGTTTTCTTTGCTACTCTTATAGTAGGACTGGAAAGGAGATTGCTTAAATATAGGCTGAGCTATCCATGTAGGATAATAACATGCAGCCATCTAAAAGAGAGACGCCTATAGCAACTGATACAGATGAGTCTCCTCTGGAGACAAAAAGGGAAATAAGTATGGGTGGTTCGTACTCAGCGATAGCTTCCATCTAAGCATTTTAAATTAGCAGTGTGCGCGCGCATGTGTATGTGCCTACAGGTAGCATATATTATGTATGCACATACATATACAGGCTCTAGCATAGTTTGTGTACAATTTCTCTTTCCTAGAAGCAGTTGCCCAGTGACAGGGATGGGAGTGTGTAAAAAGGGAAGCTTCCTGTTGGTTTGCTTGATCCTATTCAAAGGCCTGGATTTTCTAATTATGTGCATACTTTTGTGGTTATACATTTTTTTCTTTTCTCAGACATTGAAGTAAAGGAAGCTGCAGGCGAAAGACTCAAAAACCAAATGTCAGCATATTTAAAGAAATGAAAGAAGAAGCATAAAGCAAATGCATAAGATATTTAAGAGGCTCAGAGCATAGTAAAACAGATAAAAGATTTTATCATTGAAATGTTCAGTGAACATACAGCAGAGACAAAGAGCTACCTAAATGAATTAAGCAATACAATACAAGACATGAGGGATAACTCTGGAAAAGAATTAGAGATTATGGAAAGAAAGCAAGCAGAGGTAGATAAAACCACAGGTAGCAGCCTTGACTAATGTGAAGATAAGAGTGCCAAGAACAGAAAACAAAGTGGATGCATTAGATCATAAATTCAGCGACACCCCCCCACCAAACAAGACATAATGCAAGCAGAATCCAACATCCTAGATGACAAAAAGAAAGAAAGAAAGAAAGAAAGAAAGAAAGAAAGAAAGAAACCTTAGAATTATAGGAATAAAGGAAAAATTAGAAGATGTCTTAAAAGGCATGAAAAAATTTAATCAATGAAATCACAGAACAATTTCAAATCTAGGAAAAGAATTCAATAGTCAAGTACAAGGCATATATAGAACCCTAAACAGCCACAGCCAGAAAAGAATCTCTGCATGATACATATAATCGAAATTCCAGAAATCCAATAAAGTGAGAGAACACTGATGTTGTTAGAGGAAAACAGTAAGTCACCTACTGAGGTGAGAGCCCTTCAGAGCACGGTACCTGCTGCTTTCTCAGCATGAGTCTTAAAAGTGGGCAGGGCTTGGAGTGAAGATTTCAAGTCCTGAAAGAAAACACTTGTCTGCAACCAGGGAGATAGCTCAGTGGACTAAAGCACCTGCTTGGCAAGCTTAGGCAAGCGCAGGGACTGCGGTTCAATCCCCAGCACCACATACCCTGGCAGCCTGTCCCAAGGGAGAGCTGAGTCGGCCAGAGTCCAGGCCTGGTGGTGCATGCCTGTAATCCCGGCTGAAAGCAGGAGGATCACCACAAGTATCAGCTGCATAGTGAGACCCTAGAAGAACCAAATACATTAAAACATAATAATAAAAATAAAAGACATCTAAAATAAAGAAAATAGTTGTTGGCCCAGACTTTTATATCCTGCACAATTAGCCTGAAAAACAAAGAGATGCTAAATAAACACATTACCACTAACTAGTATTGCAGAAAATACTTAAGGGGATCTTAGACAAGGACAGGGAAGCCACAGAACCAAGGAGTCCAAGGAAAGCATGGAGTCCGTCCAATTGGAAGAGCAGTTAAACAAAAGGAAAAAGTATATAGAGCACTCAGCACTGGGAAAATAATGCAATGATAGAATTCAAGAAACACGTTAAATGATAACTCTCAATGTCAATGTTCTCCCCAGGCATAACACATAGGCTGGAAACTAGGACTTAAAAATGCATCCAAATATTGACTATAAGAGATACCCCTCATCCAAAAGGAAGTACATAAACTGATGATGAAAGGATAGAAAATGACATTCCAGTCAACTGGAGCTTGAAAACAAGCAAGAGTAGCTACTTGATTTTCAGAGACAGTTGTGAGTCAAGCCTAAACTGAGCAGATGAGATGAAGACGCCCACTGCATAGTGGTAAAAGGGGCCAATTCAACAAGAAGATGTAACAATTATAAAATATTTATGCACAGAATGTCAGTGCACCCAGATTCATAAAACAAAAACTACTGGATTAAAAAAGACAGTTACTGCTTAGGCAGACGCAGAGGTTGGTGGTTTGATCCCCAGCCTGCTGTGTCAGCCCCACCTCTGGGGTGTGCTGAGACAGTGACTGAGACAGGGCATGGTGGTGGGCGTGCCTGTAATGCCAGCATTTGGGAAGCTGAAAACAGGAGAATCACTACAAGTCAGATCTGTGTAGTGAGACCCTGTAGACCCTGTAGATCCTGTACTAAATACCCAAATAAATAAATAAATAAAAAGGCAGACACCAATACAATCTTAGTGGGCAGACTTCAATACTATCACTATTAGACAGGTCAACCAGATTTTTAAAAATCAACAAAAAAGCATCACAATTGAAGTACATTGTTGAAAAAATGGACCTAATAGATACTTTCAGAGCATTTCCTCCAGCATTTCACAACAGAATACACATTTTTCTCAACAACACATGGAACTTTTTCCAAAATAGGTCACATCTTAGGTTATAAATCTTGTTTAAATAAATACAAGAGAATTGAAATAATCCCCCTCACACTACTGGATCACAGTGGTATGAAGCTAGAAATCAATAGCAAAAGAAGCCACAGAGAAAACATGAAAATATGGAAATCATTTAAGCATCAACAAATCATAGAATAAATTAAGGAAGAAATAAAATAGTTTGTAGAATCAAATGCCAATGGAAGTACTGCATAACAAAACCTATGAAAAATACAGAAGTTTGAAGAAAGAAGTCTATAGCTATAATTGCACACATAAAAGGAACATCTTAATTACAAAAAATAAGTTACTGTTGTATCTCAAGGTCTTAAAAAGAAAAGAACAGTGCAAATATGAAGCTAACAGAAGGAAAGAGATTATACAGATCAGAGTAGAAATGAATGAAATTGAGACTAAAAAATACAACAGATCAATGAATCGAAGAGTTTGTTCTTTGGAAGGTTGGAGTAGAAATCTGGGGAAAGCAGCAGGGAAGGAGAAGTAAAAAAAAATCTAGAAGCAACACACATTGCACAACTTTTCTCCCAATGGAAGTAGTTATCATGTATCACAAACATACACTAATAAAAACTGAGAAAAAATGAAATTGTAATAGATAAATTTATTAGCGTAGAAAAGCAATGAAGAGAACATAGTCATAAAGGTAAACATCAAAAACAGCAAGGAAACATTG